CAAGAGCAATCTATTTATAAAATGTCCCTGTATGTGTATGTATGACCTATCTTAATTCTAAACGGAAAGAATATTACATAAAGAACAAAAATTTTAAAATACCTGTTATTTTACAGTCGGAATTTTTGAGTCATTTGGTAAAATACCATTTATTTCAAAAATAAAAAAATATTCAAATCCGGTCATAAAAATATATGATTGTTTTTTCCAAACATTTTAAATATTTTTTTTTCTTAGGTAATTGATATAAATGATAGTAAGTTTTTAATATTTTTTCAAATAAAAATAGAGGTAAAATTTTGAAGTTTATATAAAATTTGTATTTAACAAATAATATTTGATTGTATTTTAGATATTATTTTCTAATTCCCTCTTGAAATTTTTTCTTTACTTATTTTTTTCTGTATTTATATCAATATTTAAGAATTATCTTTCACTAATTATATTTTCAACTTGACACTAAAGTTACTCCCCATATCTTAAGTTAACTTACCCTATGAGAAAAAAAAGCTGTTCACTTAAAAATAATGAAATTCTTTCAGTAACATATAAAACGTTGAAGGCGAGGGATGTGCTTGTTGTTTTTCCGCTTTTTTTTCTAAATTTTACCTGCTTTATAATAAGTGTGAATTTATTTTAATATTTCTTCTCAAAAAATAGCCACTTCGATTTAAAAAAACCCATATAAAATAAGGTCATGCTTTCAAGTTTCTCTCTGAGTATTGGGACTTGTTATATATAAAGACATTAAATGGGAATAGAGTTATACACCTTTTTCTTTTTTTTCACTTGTTATTGTTTCACTTATAAAATTAAGTAGTGTAAGCGAGATAAAAACCAAAATACTCCTTCCTTTAGTATTTCTAACTCGTTGATGTAAACAGTACGTTTCCCTCTCACGCGCTAAACACAAAGAGCCTCACTTCAAAACTGCAGAAATGTTAGCTTTAACACTTTATAAAGCACTATTTGTCTACAGCAACTACAAACAATAACACACAATAAAAAAAATGATAAAAGATGCTGTTAAAATTTGTAAAATTTCAGAGGTAGCAACTGCAAAAATAGAAAATAAACTAATTTTGAAGTTGCAGTTTCATTGTGTGCGATTCCATTCAATCTCCATTAACCCAGAATCTATATTTTTCTGCAGTTGTAAAATTTTGCACTTAGAAGTACTGCCTCATTTTGTTTAAAGCTTGACATTACAAAAAATCAAGGTCTGGACCCTGCTTTTATTTGTGAATTTGTAAAATTACATATGTATGTATGTATCTTTGGCGATATGACATTTTTGAAGAATCATGTTTTTTTTGTTGTTTGTTTGGAAAAAATATGATTTTTGCCTACTTTCATTTCGAGTTTTCTATATGAAACGTTGACTAAAAGCTAAAAGTTTTTATACAAAAATGAAAGTTGGAGTTTTTTGAACAACATATCAAAAATTCAAATTTTAACTATAATTTTGATTATAGTTAAATAATCATAATTTTAACTATAATTTTTTTGTATCGCCATGTCAGGCAACATAACAGAGAATTGAGAGTTAAAAAATGATAATATAGTGAATAAAACAAAATTTGGTGCTATATTTTTTAGTCTAGAATACACGACTTAAAATAAAGTTAATAAAAATTTTATTAGATTTTAATTTAGAGTTTAAGTTTGTAATTATTTGATTTAAAGTTTTATAAATATGATAGTGCTTTTAAAATTTTGAAATCATTGTAAAAAATGTGCCGGATCAAGTTGTCCCCTACATATAAACAAACATAATAAAAATATTATAAAGAAATTCTTTATTTAATTACCGCATAAGATTCTTTATGCGGTAGTTTAGGTAAATCAGTGAATTAGCCTTATTAACAATGTGAAAATATTTCCTAATAAAACTAAAATTACACACATACCTAAAAATAGAGGGAACATATGCAATAATTTTTATGAATTATGAAGCATATGAATTTAATTAACATAGTATACACATGAAAAATATATAGATATACAGGGTGTTTTTTTTTTTCAATTTTATTTATTATTAATTTCAGATAATTTTACACAAACAGTATAAATTATGTATAAGAAATTAATTTTTTACACACTATTATTTTGATAGATTAACAACTATTTAATTCAAAATTCATTTATAAGTATATTTTAACAATTACGTATTCTTATAATTATTTTTTTTTTTATTTTTAATATTATTAAATTTTTATTAAATTTACATTTCAGTTAAATTTAAATTTAGTTTTCAGAGGGGTAGATCTGTTGTTACTAATTTGGTTGAGTTTGTCTCGGATACTATCAATGTTATGGAAGGGGGTGGGCAGGTCGATGTTATTTTTACGGATGTTAGTAAGGCCTTCAAAACTATTCCGCATCAGGTTATATTGAGAAAGTGGGCTGGCGTGGGTTTTTCTCTTCGTAGCCTGCTCTGTCTGATGTCTACTGTGCCGAGTCGGGTGTTCCGCAAGGTAGCCTTTTGGGTCCAATACTTTTTTTGGTTGCGACTAACGATGCTTTTGGTTCTGTTCCGTGTTCCGCGCTTTATAGTTTTGCGGATGACTCCAAGATTGTGAGGACGGTTCGGTCAGAGATTGATTGTCTAGAGTTACAGAGGGATTTGGATAGTTTTTGGGACTGATGTAGGGTCAATGGCTTGGAATTTAACATTGGTAAGTGTCGGGTCATGAGCTTCTCGCGTAGAAGGGATTCTTCTATTGTATTGGTGGGGTGGTATTGGGGAGGGTAAGCACTTTTTGTGATCTTGGGGTTATGCTTGATCGCAGGCTGGATTTTGATGCTTATTTGAATATGATCCTTGGTAAGGCTAACTCGAAGCTGGGTTTCGTAATGAGATGGAGGGTTTATGGATCCGTATGTTGCAAAGCATTTGTATGTGTCCTTTGTTAGGCCAATTCTCGAGTAAGCTTGTCAGGTTTGGGAGACTTTTCGTGTTGTGGAGGCTTCTCGTATTGAGTCAATTCAGAGGAAAATTTTGCGTTTTGCTTTGAGGGGCTGGGACTGGTCTAATCCTTTTAGGCTTCCATCGTATGAGGCTAGGTTAATGTTGATTGATTTGCAGTCCTTGGGGGCACGTAGGGTTGTTGCTGACATAGTGTTTATCCATCAGCTCGTGTCGGGGGCCATTGTGGCTTCTTCTTTGTTGAGGCTGGTTTCTATTGGGAATAACGTAAGGAATCTTAGGTCCGTGGAGTTGTATAATGTTCGCTATCACTCTACTGATTACGGTAGGAATGAGCTGGTTAATAGAATGTTGCGGTCTGTTAATTCTAATTCTTTGATATTTAGATCCTGCTATTAGTAAGATACTCTCAAATCTAAACTTTGGTCTAATTTAGTTTTGTAGTATTTTTTTCGTTTCTTCTTGTTCTTGTTTTTTTCTCTCGTCTTTACTTATCTACATTATCTATATTATCTATTTATTGCCTGATGGTTGTTTTTTTTTTACTTTTTTTGTTAATCGCTTTGGTTTTTTGTTTTTATTATTATTATTAAGTTGTGCTCGTCATTTATTTTACTTGCCCTTCTGCTCTTCCCTCTTTTTTTCCTACATATTCCCCTTTCTTCCCTCCCTTTTCTGTAAATGACGACGCTATTGCTTGATAACTGATAGTTGCATAATTGCAACTAAATGATGTTTTTATTTGCGCCTGTTGGCGATATGCTTAATGCTTGATCTATGCAATGAATGTCTGATATAATTCCACGATATCAACCTATCATTTTTTTTACAGGAGAAAGAGCCCTATATTCTGATCTTAATTTTGATATAACATAAGGTGGAAAAATTTTTTGAAATATCGTGTCTATCAGGCGAAAACTGAGGTCAAAACCTTAAAAAATTAACTAAAATAAAGTACTTTTCAAACAAAAACAAACTTTTTTAATCTTTATTACGCAGTATTATGCTTTATTAACATGTACTTTCTTTTTCAAAAATGAAGGACATTTGCATTACCATTATTTCTCCACAAAATATTTCCAAAAGCTTTAGAAATATTATGTCTACGAGGATCAAATTTATTAAAAAACAACAAAAACTAGTTTTTTCACAACAAATTAATTGTAATCCAATTAATGTTCACCCTTCAACCTTCTTTGTGTTTTGTTATTATTCGAAAAATGTAATTAGTGATCTTCACCTGTAGGTAATATAGAAAATTTTAATTTGTAAGCACTAGTAAAGTAGAAAAAGATTGAATTTTAACTTTTTCTAATTGAAAATTTGAAAAAAGTTGATCTTGTGAGAGATTTATGATGTTAAAAAGGGTCCTCTATAGATCCCATAAGAATACTTGTAAATTCGTCAGCTGTTAACTGTCGCTATCTCTTAGGGTGACCTGTGTTTCTGTCAGCCGAGGATTAAAGCATCAAGTTCGGCCCATGGATGTAGTTCTGTCATTCGTGGTGACAACACAATACATATCATAACAGACTTGTTTGGTATAAGAAAGTTTTTGCATGGAAAGCGTCAGGGATAATACTTTTTGAACAAAAATGAGAGAAAATGATGACATTCTTTTTTTCTCAATGTTTAAAATTTTTTTAAGTTTTGTATAGTAAAATTTAGTATTTTAAAAACTTGTAAAATCTTACGGCTGTCGAAACCTATGATTTTCTTGGTTATGTCAGAAGGCTTTATTTTTAAAAAAAATATTTTTCATCAGCAATAACTTTTTATTCAAAACTTTTCAATTAAAAATAAAATAACTTCAAAAAAGGTTTTTTTGAAGTTTCACACTTTTATAATTCAAAATCAAAATTTTTGGTTTTTGGTATAACTGAAAAATATTTATTTATGTTTGATAAATATCTTGACGTTTATAACATATCTAAAAAGCTTTTAAAAGCTTTCCGTCTGATTTATTTTTTTTTAAATGAGAATTTTTTTCTCTTTGTGAGAAATTTCGTCATTGTTTCTCTTTTTAAAGTTTTTTCAAGTTTTATCCCAGACAGACCATTAGGAATTGAGATATAAGAAATTGAGAATTTTTTTTTTGGTAAGTAGTAAGAAAGCACGTAAGTAAGTAGGCAGCGGCAAAATAGATTTACTGACTACTTACTCCAATTAATTTTCCCAAAACAGTCAAGGTCCAGACCTATTTTCTTGCCAGTCGTGGTTCTGGCCTTGATATTAGTATTATGTCATGATGCTTGATTTTAAATTACACTAAGTTGCGAAATTTCAGCTAATAATCATAATAAAATATCAACAATCTCCATAGCATATTATAATTAATTTTTTAGACAAAATAAAAATAATGAATTTTAAATTAACTAACTGCTGCTTCAAGAGCAGAAGAACAATTGGCTCTCTTCGTTTTTTGTTTACAAGAAACTGTTTAATGGAAAAAGCCGCTGTTGACAAACATAAAATGAAAGGATGGCAAATTCATTCATACGGTACACTGAATGAATTACAATTTTCTGATAAATTAAGAATTCCTATTATTCGTTGTCCGAATGAAGTACTTGTAAAAGTGACATCTGCCGGAGTGAATCCGATTGACGTATCTATGGTTGGTAAGAAATAAAACAAGTTTTTCATAAGTGATCTGAAATATGTATGCGAAATTTTAGGAGGATATGGTTCCAAATTAATAAATATTTTAAGGTGTAATCGTGAAGGTATTGAGTTCCCCCTAACTTTTGGACGTGAGTTTACAGGAGTCATTGCGCAGAAAGGTATGGGAATTTGCAAGGATTTGCAGGTTGGTGATGAAGTTTGGGGTGTTGTCCCTATTCAAAGACAAGGAAGTCATTCAGAATATACGGTTGTGCCGGACTTTTGTTTATCGAGAAAACCTGTAAATTTGAATCATATTGAAGCTGGATGTTTACTTTATGCAGGATTAACAGCTTGGTCTGGTTTGTTTATTTCCGGTCAACTAGGTGGTGTTGCTGGAGCTCTAAATTGCGGGAATACTTGTAGTCAATCCAATACAAAAAAAGTTTTAGTTCTAGGTGCATCGGGAGGGGTAGGTTCGATTGCTATTCAAATTTTACGAGCGGAAAACTCTACAGTTATAGCTACTTGTTCTACAGATGCAATACCTCTTGTTAAAAACCTTGGAGCCCAACATGTTATTGATTATTCAGATCAAACACAATTAAAACAATTAGCAGATTTTAGCCCATACGATATAATTTTAGATTGTGCTGGATTAGGCCCAAAATACGCTGGGCATTTCGATTGGCAATTTAAAAGTTTTGTTACATTTTCATCTCCACTTTTAAAAAATGTCGATGAGTCTGGAATAGGCTTGGGAATGTTAAAAAATTTTATTGAATTGATAGAATCGAATTCAAAAACATTGTCATTAAGGCAAGGATGCGTTAAATGGGGTTATTTTGTACCAGCTCCACAAGGAATTGAATACTTGAAAAAACTGATTGAAAGGAAAAAGGTACGAAGCTGTCTAAATTTACCTTCCTGTAAAATAAAATCATTAAATTTTCAGTTGTTACCACAAATAGATTCAACATTTAATTTCGAAAATACGAAGGAGGCCTATGAAAAAGTTAGTCACGGACATTTGCGTGGAAAAGTAGTGATAGATTTTATTAATGAAAAAAAAAATAGTCAATGATACGCTAAATTATTGAACTTGTATAATAAAAGGAAATTAATATAACTGCACAACTTTTTAAATAAAACTAGTAAATTTATTTTTTATTTTTATTATTTTTCTTTAAAATTAGGTAAATCAATATTTAAGTATTTAATTTACACCATTCGTCGAATAAGTCTGTTAATTTTATCTTCGCGGTTGCCAAAGTCGCCACCTTCAACGTAATGGTTATTTTTCTTGCGCCATCCTCCTGTCGGAGAATTCAATTTGAAGGGCCATAAAAAGTTTGAAGCATTTTTAAAGTTTGGTCCAATAGTGAAAATTTCATGAACTAAATCTTCAACACATTGCAAGTTATATTTTTTACTCATTTTTCGTTCAATAACAAAATTATCAGTTATCGGGATACGTTGTTTTCTATGTTTAACAAAACCACGTTTGTAAATAAGTTGTCGCACTGACTTCAAATTAGGATAACCCCATGTAATGTATGGCTCACAAATACGAAGCATATTGATGGTCGCTTTGTTGAGTTTAATAAAAACACCATTATTTATTTGACGTAAACGGAATAATTGTAAAACCTTCCGAACTTTTGGTGCAACTTTGTTAATACTAAAATGTTAACATTTTGTTAGTACATATATACTTATTCTCAAATTTTGTTTTTAATTATACTAATTTTATTTTTGTACATATTTGCAATATTTAATTTTGTTTGATTACAATTAAATCACTATTGTCTATAGAAAACATAGCTAAATGAAATTGTAAACAATTTGATCTGCGATTCTAGTGGAGATATAGAAATTATTAAATAATTTATATACCATGCCAAGAAGAATCGCAGTTTTAATTTTGATTATTTTATAATCTCATCTCTACTTCAAGATGGAGTTGCAACTTACCCACGAATACGAATTACAAAAGCCAATTTGCTCTCAGCTGGAACGTAATACATGCCCCTCTTTTTAGCTATGCGTCTCAACTTGATTTCCCGACGTTCGGCTCTTGCATATTCTGCATTATATTTTTCCGCCCTTAAAAAGTTTTCACGTTTTCTAGTAGCAATAACAACACGTTTTTTTAATTTCCTTTTTATAAGACTTGCTTTGGTACAAGTACGTTTTTTTGCAAACTTTAATTTTGATTCTGGTACAGCTGGAAGTTTCTTATTAGCATCTTTCTTCACTGTTTTAGTGCCTTCCTTCTTCTTACTATCCGTGGTAGTCATCCTAAAAGTTTAATTAATTTTTTTTATTATTTTTCTCTTGCAAAGATAGAAAAATCCAATTTATTTTTGTTAAAATATAAAACCTGGATTAGTTTCCCTACACGTTGCCGTGGAAAAGAAATTTAGCCGGAAGTTTTACAGCGAAGTCAAAATGTTGGCAGCTTTTGCTGTCAAATTAGACACTCTTATTATTACATTATGTCAACAAGAGGAAGTAAACAAAATAACCTTATTCAACAAACAACTTCGTTCTTTATTGTTCAAAAGTTTCTATTTTCAACTGTAATCAATGCGAAACCTGTTTCATATATCAAATTGAATGATTTCAAACAGTTTCTAATTATTGTTTTTTGTGCATACATATATGTGCAAACAATAACCTTTTAAGAACAAGGAATTTGAATTTCAAAATAAATTTTGGCATTCAACTTCTGTTTTAAATTGTAATTCAAAAACAGTTGACATGCATCTTTTTGGAATTGAGAAAAATTTTTGATTAGAAGTTTTGGAGGATTTGTTCGTTTTCTGATTATTAAAAGAAAGAGTCATAATAAGTTGAGTTTTGTTTCATTGTTAAAAAGTTAGAACAAAATAATCTTTACTCAATAATCTTCTTCAAACTACATACAAGAAAACTTTCGATTTCTTTTATGTGTCGAACAACTGATTGATATCTGACATTGTAATCATTTCGTGAATAAATATAAAGTAAGCTAACAAACTGATAAAGTCGTGTTTGTTTTGGCTTCAGCCTTCAGTCAAAAGTTAAATTTTTTAATTTAAAAACAAGGGAACTTCTCTATATAAATATATGGTATATTTAGAAATAAATTCGATGGAAACTACATATGTCAATTATAACTTTTTTTACTCTTGCACTGAATTAAATTATTTTTCCTTTGTTTATTAATTATTTATTTCCTTATTTATTTTAAATTATTTATTTTTTCACTTATTTTTATTTTAAAAAAAAATCACTCTTAATTTGCTATATATTATGTATTAATGTCATAAATATCTACAGGCCATCAAGCTCAGAGAGTAAATCAAAAATAAATTCCAAATTTTTGTGGAGTTTAAATGGAAGGTGTGTCGGAATTTATTTGTGTGAAGGAATCAATATTTTTGGCTCTAAGGATTCTACATATTTTTTGAAATTTAAAATTTAAATTTAAAAAAAACCGGCTGGTAAATTCCATCTGAAAAATGCACTAAAAAAAATGCAATTTTTAGCGCAGACTGAATTACATAGTAAAATTTTTGAAAAAATAGAATTTAAAAATAAATTGAAGAAAAAAGCAACAAAATAATAATTATAATCTAGATGGCTTTTAAAATCATACTAAGTAAAATTAGAATAATAAATACTCAAAAATTTCACAAAAAAATAAAAAAATATTTCAGTCGGCAAACTTCGAAAAAATAAAACATTAAGAATGGTTTTTGTATTTTTTTACGATGCAAAATATCGGAAAATATTTTCAGCTTGGAGGCCTGATAGATATATATGGATATACTTTGTTATAAATAAAAAATTAACTTTGCCACTTGATTTGATCAAATAATGCTTGATGTGTATACAAAATTTCACATCCAATTTCATAGCTAAAAAAATTTATCGTCAAACTTTAAAGTCTAAACAGTGTCTTATATTTCAATAATTGTCAATTCTGTAAATACCATAGATATATATAAGTAAGTAAATATGGGATTATATAAACAAATTCATAATAATATAAAAAATTGCTTACAGCATATAAAAGAATTAATTCATTTCTAAAAATTGTTTAAAAATTTGAATATGCAAAATTAAATGTGGTATAAATTCCCATTTTTCAATTGCTGCTCTGGGTTACTGATTCTCTAAACACTAGCCAATTAATATTACAAAATGTTACAAAATATGAAAGATTTGTCTGTTGAACATACTTAGTATGTTTATTATTTTATTGTCGAAAGTAGTCTTAAATGTCAAACATTGTTTTGATTTACTATAAGATAATGTTTTGTTTTCACCGCTAAAAAAGGATCTAAATTTTTTAATTTGAAACAATTGAGCAGATTAAAAATTTATAACAAAAAACTTTCGATAAAATATTTAAAACAAGTTTTGAAATGATAAAAATAATAGCTTTGAATGAAGAAATCGATTCGGAAGCCAATAGTGACGATGAAATTCGAGTCACAAAAGAAGCAGAGGTAATTTACTGTTAATTTATTAAATCAATAGAGCTTTTGAAATTTTTATAATTTTTCTTAGGAAACTATAGCAGTCTCAGAATATATGAGAGCACTTAAGTATAAAGCAGATAAAGATTATGAAAATGCTATGATATTATTTACGGAGCTATTGGAAACAACGGTGCTTAATGAGGTAAAAATATATTTACACAATGTTCTCTTATAGCACATTAATTATCACCTTTATTATGTTAGTTGTCTGCGGAAGATAAAGAGAACAAGCTTTATTCTGTTAGGTACAATTGTCACAAAAATATTGCTTACATATACGAAGAAAAAAAGGAATATGAACAGGCTTTGGAAAATTATATGAAGGTTTGTTGATTATATAAATTTAATTTACATTTATATTTTTAATTTCTAAAAAAAAACATGAAAAAAGGCTCTAGAATTAGATGACACAGAAGTTTTTATGATGAACCGTATGGGCCAGTTAGCTTTAAAACTTGAAAAGTGGGATTTAGCTGAATATGTGTTTCAGAAATGTTTAGCAAGAAATCCTAATCATTGGGCGGCTGCGGACGGGGTTTTAGATTGTTTATGTAAAACTGGAAATATAATGGGTTCATACGGTTGGGCATTAAAATTGTATTTGAAAGACAATGATTATATAAAGGCTGAGGATGTTTTGATAGAAATTACAGAAACTTTTGAAGATGTAATACCCTTCTTCGAAAAAGTTTGGCCCACTCCATTCACTCGGAAATCTCCCAAGACCAACGTAAGAAAAAAGAGCGTTTTCCCAGGCCCAAATCCAAATATTAAAGAAGAAAATGAAAAACTTGTTAAACCTGCTTTAGATAAATTCAAAGCAGATGCTTTGAATTGGTTAACTGTTGGAAAATTTATTGTGTCCCTTTACAATCACTTGATGGAAACAAAACAATGTCCGGTCTTCATTTTAGCAGTTTCCGATATATATGAAGAGGAGGACGAATGTAGTGCAGAATTGAATGGCGATGAATTCACAAAAGTAGATCAAAGTCAAGAGGTAAATAACATAACTATTAACTCTACAGTTGAAAGCGGCTCTCTAAATGATAATTTGGATAATAAAACGGAAAACGAGGCAGAAAATTTTGTAGCGCCAAATACGATTGACAACAATGTTGACGTTGTTGATTCCCCTAATCAAATACAAGAGGAAAACAATGAAGAAACTGAAAATCCCAAAAGTGAAACAGAAATAGTTAGGAAGCCAAGACGACGTTGCAGTGATCTGAGTTTTTTGGAACAATGGGGTTGGCATAAAAATAAAAGATATTCTTCAAGAAAACGAAGTCAACAGGACAAACCGGAAAACGATACTACAATGAATGGCTATCTAAGGAAGATTTTTTCTAAAGATTTTGAGTATGCTTTTCAACATCAATTTTGATTAAATTTAATATATTAATAAATAGTTACAAATTATTTTAGTGAAAATTTTGATAAAGAATCACCTTTTCTCCCTGATAAGAAAGGGGAAGAAATTGTTCTATCTAAAAAACAAGAAGAATATAGTGACTTTTTGAAGAAAAATGTTGTTAGTTGGGAGGAATTTCACAGTAGTACTGAAGCAGACTTTCAAGATTTTGTTAAAGAATTGAAGGTAGTTTAATATCAATTTTAATGCACATGTGTCAAATATGTTTTAAACCGTATGTAATTTGTTATTTCAGAATCGAAATTTTGATCTTTATTGTTTGTTATTCATTTGGCTCAAATATATTTCAAAGTATTGGGAACAATCCTTCACTCAAGAAATAAAGGACATTTACTATGAAATTTATAAGTTCTATATGTAAGCGCTTTTGGTAATATCAAGTATATTTTTTTATTTCTAAACTTTTATCAGAAATCACTATGATCTTCAGACTTGGAACCTTTTATCTAACGATGATTTTAATGCTTCATTTCGAATGGCTCTTTTATACTTGGAAATTGATATTGAAAAGCAAATAGAAAAGTCTAAAAGTTCTTGCACGTGCGTTTCTATAAATTACATGTTTTTTTGTACAATAAAAATAGCTTTTTTTTTAATTGTTTTAGTATAGCCACCGATTCAACATGGCGCACAATATTTTGGCATTTAAAATTTAATTCTGGGATAATTTTTGTTATTTCCGATGAGGCATATGAAAAGAATATAATTCGACTAGTTTGGTTGGATTATTGTGCAGCGAAGTTAGAAAGTAATTGGAATAAATGTGTTGAATGTCTTCAACATCTCGAACGTTTGATAGAACAGCAAGATGAAAAAAATTTTGTTTTGAAGTTTCCAAATTTGAAACAAAACAATTATATTGATCTGGAAAGTGTTAAATCAACATGCGTTAATATTCAAAGACGTATTAGTTTGATTAATGTGAAAAATCTGTACGATAATCAAAATTATAAAGAGCTTTGTGAGATTTTAAAAGAAAGTTTAATATATAGTACTGAAATTAGAAACTCTGATGATAGTGTTTTGAAAATTCAGACACAATTTGAAGTTTTGTTAGAGTCTTTATGGAATTCGCAGCAATATGAGGATTGTATGATTTGGTCAGAAAGATGTCTGTGCTATGCTGTTCGCAATCTTTTAGATGCTCCAACCGATACTTATCGATATGAGGAGTGGGCAAAAAGCTGTAATTTCATACTTATATATTTAGAGGAATTATTATTGCCGAATCCACGTGAAATTTTGGATAGTATTAAAAAATATACTTCACGTTTGGTTCAAAGTATATCAAAGATATTAACACATCAGTTTGATATACAGTTTAATAAAAATAATAATCCCCCGCATCCAGTTGATTGCAAACGAACTTGGGTTATTCTACATCAAATTCTTTTAGTAAGGGAAGAAAAAAATCCCGTTTTTGTAAAACCAAAGTCTCAAGATGGAACAATTTCGATTGGGGTTGAAGAAAATATAGAGGAAATGCTACCGAAAACCTTTTCATTTCTTTTTACGGCACATGAATATTTAGGAAGAAGATTTTGGTGCACTAGAGACGGAGGATTATTTTTACTTTACATTTTAGACTTTGTTATTCCGAAAATTCGATTACCTTTATATGATTCTATTCGAGATGTAGTTGTGGAATATGTTGAACAGCTCACATATTGTTTGTTTGGTTATCCTGCAAAAAAGGCGAGATCCAAACATATTGAAGAACATGATGCAAAAAATATTGATATAACCTTTGAATTGGCAGTCAAAATTTTTGATTTTTATCGTCCAGAAATATTACCGGAATTCAATTCGTACAAATTAGATTCTATATCTTCTGATTTCGAAGCATTATTATTAAAAATTTTACCCCTTATACCAAAGGAGTGTGATCCAACAGATTATAGTAAAGATATACGAGAGTTTGTGATTGGGCAAAACTTTGAACTGCCTGAAGAAGGATTTGACAAGCTACCTTTTCGGATTAAATATATCTTTTACTTATTGGGAGATTTTTATTTTAAAAATAGAGATCTTCAAAAAAGTATAAAATATTATATATTGGACTTAACATGTGAGCCAAAAAGGTTTGACTCTTGGGCTGGTAAGTCATGACAAATTCGATAGAGTTTGATCTAATTAAATATATTTGTTAATGTGATTTATAGGAATTGCACTTTCAAAACAAAGTCGATTGGACACGAAATTAAATTCTTGTACTGCTGTTGACTTCAAAGAATGTTTGGATGATGCAGATAGTACCAAGAGATGTTTCGAACAGTGCATAAGTATTAACAAGACCAATACTTTGTTATGGATAGAATATGGCCAATTCGCTTATACTGTTCATTCATTTTGTTCACGATTGTTGAAGCATTGTATGACATTATCAATGGAGCAATTTTCTTTCATAGAAAGTGTTAAAGAAAATTATTTACAAACGGCACAAACTTGTTTTATAACGGCTGACAAAACGATTAAAGAGAAAAAAGACCCCGACGTTGATGAGGACGATGAAGAGACGCATGACGAAAAGTGGCTACATCATTTTATGCTTGGAAAAATAGCTGAAAAACGTAAAGAACATCCAAAAATCTATTTAGATCACTATTTAATGGCGGCAAATTTATTACATGAGAATAACGCAACATATCCAATAAAAATCAATCATAACAATCCATCAACCCTCTCTATAGAAGCTTTGGAAGTATTTTATAGAACATCGTCGTCGATAATAAAATATTTAGAACAAAATAAAGAGGTCCGTCGGGATATTGGAAAATTATTCCAACAAGTTCTAAAGGAGCTTGCTGGCAGTCCATTTGCTTACAATCAGGCGAAAATCAATGGTCCGTGTTATTGAAAATCTTTCAATTTTTATGTTAAACTTTTTATTTTTAGATAGCAGTATTAATGCTTATAAAAGAAAATTGGCAGCTGAAAAAGCTGAGGCCTTGGCAAAAAAACAGAAACTAGAGGAAAAAGAAAGACTGCGATCAGAGCGCTGCACAAAACAAAATTCTCAAGAGCAAGCAACTGTTACGTCGACAACAACAATTTCCAATGCACCTATGAATGACACTAATGTGACAGTAATTTCAACAACAAAAATCGAACAAACAACTATTGAATCTTCATCAGTTGTAACAAGCACAACTAATGAAATAACTAATGAATCTAATGAAAACAAGATTGACATAGATAAAAGCAAAAGTGTTGATTCTGAAAAAACTAGTTCTGGGACTGAATTACAATCATCGGTTCCACATGTAAGTGATTCTGCACCGTTAATCTCAGTTAAAGAAGAAGCTGTTGAAATAAAAGAAGAATTATCTGAAATGAATAAAGATGAAAAAAATCAGGATATGTGTTTAAAAGTAAACAGTAGATCTCAAACTCCAGTTCAGAATGTTGAGAATATTCAAAGTGAGCCTGGAAGTCCATCACGTCGCGGATCTCAGGTATGTTAAAAAAAAATTTTGTTTTTCTATACTATACTTTTAAGTTGTGGTGAACAATTTTAGAGCACATCCATTAATATACATTTAGTAGGATTTGGATGATAACCTTAAAAAAATCGCGTCATTATCGAGTTTTACACATACCAAGTCGATGGTAATTCATAAAGTGGAAAATAAAGATTTTAGGCCCTTTCAGAAACATAATATGTCGTGCTTTAACTGCTATATATTTATGTTTATAAATAAATGCTGCAAATAAAGTTCGTTAATAAATATTGCTAAATTTTCAGCAATAATATAGTGAAATCGTTATGAGTAGCGCAGTTAAATTATTTTAGCTGTTTTACTTCTATGAATTTTCAAAATTATTGCGCATCTATCAAGTTATGTTTTTGCAGTATTGCGATTATAAAAATCGTGTCTATGTATTTCAACAAGTTGTTTTTATAACATGTATGTACATCATTGATATAAAAACTATTGAACTGAATTGCTTAAGCTCATAAAAAGTTCCTGAAGCGTGTATAGGCTTATTTAGAAATTTAATTAAGAATAAAATAGTTCTTAATGTTCACTTTGTTTAAATTTCATTTAAAATTAAATAATATCTTATATAAATTACTTCTATTACTAACACAGCGTTACAATATTTCTAAAAGATGCTTGCAGATTTATTCTATTATGTACATACATATGTTCTTATTATTGGAAGGAAAATTAACAAGCAAACATTTTTCTTAGTTTATTTTAATGTGAATTAATTATAAACTATATTTCAGATTCATTTATAAAAAATTTAATCATAAATGTTAATATATCTATGTAAATAAATAAAATGTTAATCTAAAACTAAAAAAAAATAAAAATTAGGTATCAAAAAAGGAAATTACTAGTCCCACGTTATCTGCAATGTATTCCAATTTTGCAGATACATACAAAACTTTTGTGTATTTTTCAGTAGATCCTAAGCAATGAATATTTAAATAATCTAGAACATTAAACTGAAGAAAGGTTATTTGGCTTAATAAATATAATTAATTCAGCAGAATCTTTATATTATTAAATTTTTAATATTAAACTTGGCGAAGTTTATTATTTCTGATTTTTTTAATTGTTTCACTTAGTATAATATGAGGAACGGCGGGAAATATAATTATGAATATTAAAATTTAAAATTTTTATATAAAATAATCGAAAATTTGCCAAATATTTAAATCTTTCCGATTCTTCAATATTCTTTCTGTAATATTTGAAAGTGTAGTTTATTATATTAATTAAGTAACATATTTTTTTATTGTAGATAAAACTCATAAATAAAATTCATTAAATAAAATTTTTATCAAAGTTGCAATTTTAAAAGTTACAGTAGTATTAATTTAAAAAGTCAGAATAGGCTGGATTTAAATTTGGTGATTATTTTGCTTTTGAATTTAGTGTTTACTTTGGCTAACTTTTTTTTAAGATTACAGTCAAAATAAATTTACATAATGGTAAATTTAGAAATTCTCATTAAAAATTAATTTACATAATATGTATTTATTAGCTACAAAGAATACCATTTTATTTATTTGCCGATTTTTCTTGAAAATTTAGCATTGTTAGCTTCACGTGATAGTTTCAATAAAATTTGTAAAACTGTAATAAAATAAAAGAAAAAATCCACATTTTTTTAAATTATATTGATAGTCTTACAGTATTTGTGTAGATAATTTTATTAACCAAAATTTATAGATTAATTTTTTGCGTTTTTGTTAATTTTTATGATGATATTTGTTGAAAATAGTTTTAAATATCATTTATATCCTTTTCTTTATTTTTTATATATTAATTCTAAAATTCCTTAATTTGGTTTTTTTTTTTGGTACATATACTTATTTTTTTGTATATACATAATTGTATTATTAAAAGTCTTTTATTCAGATTTATTTCATTAATTTCAACTTATGAGTTTCCTTTAAATCTGCACAAAACTCCTCTAAAATAAAAATTTCTAAGACTATAAAAATAATAATTAAAATCTTTTTGTACTACATTATTTAATTAACAAATAATTTAATATATTAATTAAAAATATGTAATACCGTAATACATTATATCTTTCGTCTCATATTAATACATATACAACTTAATTTATAATATAGTATAAATGCAGTGTTTAATAAAACTTTATTTTTGTGAGTTGTATCAAATGTTTGAAATTTTTTTATTCAACTCCTGAAATTTAAAAGATCGAATTCAATTTGAATAGATTTTTTAAATAATTATTTTTCAAATTCATTCAATTAAGTTTAAGCAGATTTTGAAAGTTTAAATGTGTAAGAAAAATATAGGAGAGAAAAGAAAATACAATATCTTCAATTAGTTGATCGTAATGTTGAGTTGCTCGCATGAAAATTTTGATGTAATTGGGATGAACTTTGTTGCTTTTTTTGTGTTTGATACCATATTTTTAAACGATGACTAATTTCGGAAAACGATGGTCGACGTACAGCTTGCTCATGCCAACATTCTATCATTAATGAATAAACAGCTGTTGGACATGCTTCTGGACATGGTAAAAGTTGACGTGCTCTTACCATATTAATAACTTCTTGATTGCTATAACCATAATAGGGCTAAAAATTTTTTTTTTTATCAGTTCGTTTTCACAAAAAATATGTAATAATTACTTGTAATCCATAACTGTATATTTCCCAAAGAACGACACCAAATGACCATACATCACTTTCAGTCGTAAATTTTCCATATAAAATTGATTCAGATGGCATCCATCTTACAGGAAGTAAAGATTTTGATTGGACTCTAAAAGAAACAATATTTTGAACATACTACATTCAAATATATAATTAATATTCCTACCTATAATAATCTGAACTATAAATATCTCTTGATAAACCAAAATCTGATATTTTAACAGTTAAATTGTCGCCTACTAAACAATTTCTAGCTGCTAAATCACGATGAACATAATGATGTCCAGATAAATATTCCATACCTTCACTTATTTGCAAAGCAATATATAAAAATTGTAATTGTGTTAAAGATTTATTTTCATTTGGTGAATTTGCTATTAAAAATTCATGTAGATCGCCGTGTGACATGTACTCAAATAACATACAAAGTGGTTCTTTGTTCAATACAACACCCAATATACAAACAATATTATCATGCTTCAAATCTGATATTAATTCAATTTCTCTTTTAAAATCTTGTTGAGTCTTTGAGGATGCATTTTCTTTTAAAGCTTTTACAGCTACAAATATTTTTTCACTGTTCGTTTGAGTTAATTGCCCCTTGTAAACCTTTCCTACAAATTATAAAAAATTATGGAATTTTTAATCTCTTTTTGGAAAATTGTTTCGTAACCCTGAAGGATATGATGTATTTGTTACTTACCAAAAGCACCTTCACCTAATTCTTCAACGAATTCAACATCCTGTAATGTATATTGTGGTACCCTTAAAGAATTTGCTCCACGATTTGTGTTTTGCTGCCCGTTGACTGGGTTATTTTGATTATTATGGTGATGATTGCTATTACCAAATAATCGCGTCATTTCGAATGATGAATTAACCTGTGAATTTCCATAAATATTTTTATCAGCACTTGGAAGACTTATCTGTAATGATTAAGATGGTATATAAATGTGTCAAATAATTGTAAAATAAGTTAATTTTTAATTGTTGTAACAAGAATTTAAGTGAGAAATGAACAAATATTTTGTATTATTTTTGTTTGATTTTTATACTTCTTACATTTTGTATATTTGCCATTGGAGGTTTTTTACTTTTTTTATAACATATAATAATAACTATAGTTAATATGAAACCCATTAATGCTACAAGTGATATTATAATATAAAGCCACATTTGTTCTGCACATTTGGGAATTTCACAATGTTCAATCAATTTCTCAAATGATTTGTCACCAACAAAGCACCAAGGTCGATCTTCGTGATTTCCAGGGTTTCTAAAATCCAAAATCAGTTTAAGTGAATAAAATCATGTATCGTAAATACCAATTGTTAAGAAAAAAAAAAGTAAATAAAATTACACCCTAACGAACCTGCAATAATTTTGTCCAGCTAATTCAGGATAGTCAGCAATTTCTTTCATTAACCATGACCATTTAAGACACGGTTTTCCTGATACCGATACAGCTACAGTACCTCTGTAGCCACTTCCATTTTCCCAATAACATTTTTCATCAGGGTCAACGTCAATTGCAATACCAAATGATGAACAATCGATATCATTTGGAAGACGATAACAATCTTCAAGTGGTAGCTTTTGTCCAATTGTCGGATGCCGTTTAGCAATCGCATACTCTTTTTGACATAATTCGTTCTCAAGTAGCTCACATTCATCACGACATATTCTTTTTAAATTTTCTGAATTACGTGTAGGCGGATATTCGTTTGATATTTCACTTGAAAATATTTCATCGTAAAGAGTTGGTGGTTTCTTTTTTAAATATAGACGGCGTTCTTTAAGTCTTTCCAAAAATCTTTTATTACGTTCAAATTCAGAAACTTTTTTTATATTACTATTACCATTATTATTATCATTGTTATTGTTGTTATATGATGGTGAAGTACTATAATGATTAGCATGTATTTTATTGTTGTTGTCCTGGTTATTATTGTTGCTTTCTCCATTTCTTATATTTGATGTGTTTTTTTCGAAACGGTTTTTTTTCTGACGTTTTTGTGTAAATTGTTTCTTTTGGTCTTCATAATTAGCTCTATTAGCAAAATATAAATGATTTGTACGATCTGGTGTTCTACATATAGGTAGTGTACTGTAACAAAGACTTGGCAATGCATAGATGCGACAATTTGGATTCATGTCTCTGCAATAATTATGAAAATTAAAAATTTTTTTTTTTTATTTATATGTTATAAATTACTTTGATTCTTTTATGACCACCCATGCAGCCCTTAAGCGCTCTTCCAATTCAGTCATAGTTAAATTTGGTGGAATAAAAACACTATGATTACTTAAAAATTTTTCGCATGTTGTGCCATTGTACACTTGACAAATCCCTAATTCAATTGGCTATTTAAATAGTTTAAATAAAAACAGACAAAAAAATTAAATAGATGAATGTAAGGTTGTTCATGATTTAATTAATAATTTTTAGTAAAAAGATGCTACATCTATTAAAATAAGTCTATTTTACATTTAATTTTATAAAATAATTTACATTTTACATTTTTATTTTATAAAACTAAATTAAAACTTTAAAGTTAAACTTTAGATAAAATTTATAAGTAACAAAAAAGCTTTATTAGCATTATGGTTTAAATAGTTCCTTCAAATAATTTATTAAAAATATTATTAATCAAATATTTGTGATTTTTTTTAAATTTTCCATTTGTGGCAATTATGGAATATTTAAAATACGAAAATTATCTTCTTTAATTCTGCTTGTGTTTTATGATTGCTACGATGTATCTAGTGTAATTTAATTTTTTAGAAATAACGCGAAATGTTTCTATCACTTCTATACACAACTTTAGACAAAATGGTTTCGTAAAATCTTTATAAGGCTTAAAGCTCCAAATTTATAAATACAAAATTTTTCAATTATTCATAAATTAAAGAATATAAAAATATTCTTACTAAGTTTGAAATTTTCCGTAGACGTTATACGTAATAAAATAATTTTCCTTTTAATTTTTAATAATAACAGAATAAAAATTGTAAAAAAAAAACTTTAAATCCTTTCGTTTTTTTTCCTCAATTTTCGAATTCTTACCTCTCCATTATATTGTGATGTATATTTTGCATGATCAGCTATTTCGTGCCCATTAATCCTAAGGACATTTTTATGGATTTTATTTTTTTTGTTTTTGTTGTTATTATATATATTTTTTTTTATGTTAAGGATGTAGTGTATTGTTTTGTGTTTGTCGATGATGGTGATGATTAAGATGATGTTGATGACGATGTTGATAATGATAATTGTAGTTGTATTGTTGCAATTATTTAGTTAGTTGTTTATTTTTTATTCCGTGTATATTATTTCATTACATACAAGTACGTATATATATGAATGTTTATTCATAAAGCAAAAAAATAAAAGAATAATTTCATAAAATTTAAAAGAAAGAAAGAAAATATGACATGAAAAACAGTCATATGAATAAAAAAAATGGAAAGAAAAGTGATAACATCCACCATATAAGAACGCAACAAGGATCCCATAAAACAGTCAGAGAACCAAAAAAAAACAAAAGAGAAAAAAAAATCAGTTAGTCCAAAGTAAAAGCCATTCGTTTTTTATACAAATATAGATGTAGTATAACGACAAGAGGGGTCGTTGATTCCATTATAGTTCATTGTTGTGTTGAGTTGTTTGTTATTTTGTTGTAAATTTTTATATTTTGCATTTTTTTTTATTGTATTCAATCCCATGCCGCCGCCACATCCCAACAATATTGTTATTTGTGACATAGTTCATAATTGTTTTTTTTTTGTTTGATTCCGCATAGAAAAACGGAAGGATATGTATGGGTACCCAAATTGTTTGTAGAGTACATGAAAAGAGAAAAACATTTTTTTTATTTTGATTATTAAAGAAATAAGTATTTCGTATATCTGATGAATGTATGTTTTTATACATTTTTTATAAATATTCAAATTATATGAAAACCTAAAGTAATTTGTACATATTTATATTTAAATATATTTGATCATATGCAATTAAAAAAAGAAAAAAAACTAAATGAGGACTATTTGTTGCATTAATAATTTCAAAATGATAAGGATACAATTATTATTTATTGTTCTGTATATAAAAGTTTGTAATTATATTATTGTATGTACTACAGCTATTCATTATACGTATATGTATGTACATAAATATACGTTTTATTTATAGATATACAATTGAAAATCTATTAAAATTACAGTTGGTATCGATTAAATTTTTTTTAACAACCTTGTTTTAAACTGGCTTTTAATCTTATATTTGGAAAGAAAATCCAATTAAAAGTAAAGCTTTTTAGAGTAATTTTTCTTGTAAGAAGGATTTTTTCACTTAAACCTCATTTTAAAAAATTTAATACTTTGTATTCAAATTAAAATGAAGGTTTGAAAAATTATCTCTTTACTAATAATTGTATTTAAGATGAATACTTGTAACAAGTCGGATTTTGAAGAAAATGAAAAATTAAATAAGGAAATTTTTTGTTTGTTGCGAATAAAGTCGTTTATCTTGTTTTGGGCGAGTTAAAATCATATTTTGTTTCTTTTAATAATTTTCTCACTCCCTTCCATGTGACCAGTTCGAAATTTTGCATATTGGTTTTGAGAGTTTACGTTGACTTCCTTCTATTAACAAAAACAAAAAAAGGAAATAAGTATTAAGAATTTTTATAAAAAATTACAAACTTCGTGACATTTCAAAGTGAAATGAAGTGGAGTCACTTAAAAATTTAATTAAAAGGAAACGTTTTTCCCCTATTTATGGGTTTTCATGAATTACTTTTTTTAAATTATTCTTCTGTGTTTGCTATACTAATATACTGTGCAGTATGCTATAACTATAGTCGGTTAGGTTGAATGTATACAAAAATCATGCACAGAATAAATTATGCTTTAATTTTCATTTCTTTTCATAATTTATACTTTCGTTGTTTTATAAATTTGGTTTCACTAAGATTTAACTAAGATTTTTACTTAATGCATGAACATGTTATTATTGAATGTCATACATACATATATATATATGTGTATTTTACATAATAATAATATATTTATAGCTAAATTAAAATGTTTGCCTCCTTCAATGTACTTTTAAAATTCATGTATACAAGATAATTAGAAATTATATTATGTATATGATAATAATGAAATTTTCTTGAAAATATAAGTAAATAGGAACAAACATAAATAGTGAATAATTACATCGTAATGCATATTGTAATCAATTACATAATACATATATAATTGTATGTATATAGTAAATCCACTAATGAGATTTTAGTTAAATATAGTATCTAAGAAAAAGTGTGCACGTGAAATGGGCTATTGTGTTTATAATTAAAAAGCAGTTGAGCAAAAAAATCAACTACATTAGTTACGTATTTTATTTTAGTTAATCTAAGGAAGCTAGATATATATACACTTGACTACACATTTAATACATATGCATAATATATAATTTATTAAAAGTGAATGAACTCATAGTCAAACTTAATTAAATTTTATTTAAACTTAATTAATTAATTTAATATAAAATTTAATAATTTCATATTTTAAGTCGCGAATTTTATTTTATTGTGGTAGTAGCCTCAAAAAGATATTTTTGTAAAAAATTGTTTATATGCTTCCACAATAGCCCTTAATTTACTCGTATAACGTTTTGAAAACCTTCGTACCAATTTATTGTCTTTTAATAATTTTTTATGTTACTTTTTTAAATAATAAGTGTTAATTTTAAATTTAAGCAATGCAGAATATAAGAAATAAAAAAAACATTTATTTAAAACATTTTTTTGATTTTACCTATATATGGTGGAAAATTTACCTCCACGGCGTTAGTTACAGACTTGCAATTTTGCTAAACAAAAGTATACAAGCTTGTTATTAGAAAAGAACGATTATTATAAAATGGTAGTAAATTAAATTAGTGATTTTTTTTTCGTACCAAATTTTATGTAAAAAGACCTACAAAAAGCATTAAATCCGGTTTGCATATCAAGAAATTTTAATAATTCATATGTACATAGATTTGATTTATTTCTATTAAGAAAAATATGAACTCATTCTAAAACTTGATATTCAAAAACCTGGAAAACAAATAAATTTTAAAAATCTATGTACAAGTTCAAATTTCATGATCATATTATACATATAATTTCAAAAAATATGCAAATTTATGTAGGCAAATGCGAATAATTACATATTATACTCCATTTTCCGTTCTACATCCGTTTCAAATCACTCATTTTTACTTTATTAATTCTGTTTTTTGTAACATTTCTTTTTGATTACTAAAAATTAAATCAAACATTTTATATAAGGTTTTATTATTCTGAAAATTACAGATTTCCAATCCTTTAGCGTTCAAAATGAAAAAATTTTGAAAAACGGTTATATTTTTATGTTTTTATATTATTACATGTACATACATTATATGTGTTGCTTAATTATTAAGTATATACATAAATATAAAGGAAAGGTGAATAATTGAAAATAAGTTGTTGTATTTTTCTAATTTTATACACTTTTTATAGGACGGAAGGTAGCCAAAAGTCATTAGAACGCAGTCAGTTATTCATCGTATTAAAAAATAAAAAACTTCAAAATTATATATATGTATGTACATACATACTTAGGAAACAAAAAACTAAAATAAAAAAACGAAAAGGAACAAAAGGATATCACGAATGAAGACATAATTCATCACTTTCATATATCTGTTTATGCATACATATATATATACATATATATACTTACAAACATAGATTTGCATATATATTTTCGAATATATTAATGCATAATATTAACGTTAAAATCTAAAACGTGCTTTATTTGTATACAATTTTATTCTAATTTTTCGAAATCATTTGAAAGTTATTTTTTTCGTGTTTCATTTTTTTATTGCTCTACATTCTATTGTAAATATGCTCTGAATATAGTACATATTATAATTCCATTAAAGTTAGAGCAGGCCGGATTTACTTTAGGAGTAGTAGGCTATCCAATTTTTCCTCAAAAATGCTTCTACCTTTAAAGATGAAGCAGCAAAAATTATAAGTCTTTTAATAATTGTCTTTTATTGTAATTAAGATATTTCTGAGTGCTAAATAATCTGCTTAGCACTTATATTATTTATGATTAATTTTCTCATGTATTTCTAAAATTTTGGATTTATATTAAAAAAATAATATTAAAAATGAATTTTCAATTTTGAGATTCTTTTGCACAAACAAAGTCCTATATACTGCGATTTGTTCAGCCAAATCCGACACTGATTATTAATTTTCACACAAAACTATAAAACTTGATTTGTATTTTCTTTTCTTTTTTTTATAATTTATAAATTATTTTATTCAAACATGCAATTGAATAAGTGTCACGAACCTTAAAAAATAAAAAAAAAATTCAAAATGGGGGTTGGTTGAAAAAACTCGATAATCCTTTTTTATCAATTAACAGTCATTATTGTCGCCAACAACCTAAGTGAATTCGCGACATAACAAAAAAAAAAAAACAGAAACAGAAAAGTTTTTTTTACCATTATTTATTTGTTATTATTTTGCTATTTTAATATTATTATCCGTGTATCGAATATAGTGAAAATTCATTTTTAAATAAATAAAAGAAGAAGTCCGTAATATTTGAAACTAACTAAAAAGACCTTAGAATTAAAATATATATTTCATTATTTTGTGTGTGTGTGAAAATATAGATGAATATGATAGATTTAATGAAACTGTTGGATGGTAGATTGGAAACTATTAATCAATTATAAAATCCATATGTAATTTTAATTAAATGTATTTTGAGTAAGCAATTGTGAGAGTAAATCAGAAAATCAAATTTTGAAATATAAAGACGAATTTCTCATTAAAAGTAATCTTTGGTTGTAATATTTAAATATTACCATAAATAGTTCATAATTTCATTTGAATATCTAAGTATGTATATATTGAATACTGAAAATCTCATAAGTCTTGTGCGTAATAAAAAAATAATGTAAATGCCAAACGGTTGATTGTTGAATAGTGAGTTTCTATATATAGAACTTATACATACAGTTCGTTCAATAATAAATTGAAAATAACGAACAATAAGGTAAATAATT